TACTTACAACAAGGACCACGTTCTTCCTCAGTCAGTCAGTTCAGTCATCTCGTCAATCAACGGCGGACTTGGCAGCAGAGAGCTTTCAAGGGTTGAACTAGGAAATCCTCATGTTTTATGAATTTTCCGCTAAGCCATTTCCACGGAGGAAGAGTAGAGCCGATAACTCTACTAAAGTGAGGAAAATGGTGATAAACAACAATTCCTAATGCACATATGTATACGTCCATGCATGTGCGGATGATGTGGGATGGACAGACAGAACGCATGAACGCCCAAAGCTTGTCCATTTACAAGGGCGACATTGTGCGTATACGCATAAAAGCCACGCAAGGATTGATCTGAGAATGTGATGACTTTTCCAGATTTCCAAGCACCAGAGTCGATAAGATACGGAAATTATTTCATTTATCATATTATTCGTTCCCGAGAAGCCTTTGGTCACGCTTCCAAGCTCAGCTATTCGTGAGACGGCTACAATAATGTGACATAAGAGGTGACTACGGACACTAAAATAATAATGTGCAATTTCCGCGTCCAAGGTTTATAACTTCTGAGAAGTTTTGAAAGTGTGGTTTGAAAGTTTAAAATGAAATAAAAATCATACATAAATAGTTCTCGGAACAATCATTCGCGATGACCACGGACTGTTGGTTATGGCATCGATGCAAGTTTCTTGAAATAATAATACGACCACGTTGAACAAAAGGAGAGAGAGAGGGTGAGTTTGTTCACCATACTCGTACTTTCCATCACATATTTACAACAAGTCCAAACTGAAGGGGACCACATCATCGTCACACAGCATGAATTTTTAAATGTGATAGGAACAGCAACATCATTCCGTGGAGTGCAGTGCATACAAGAACAGAAAAGATTTAAGAAAATCGAAAACGTCTCAAAGCAGTGAGGTAACCGCCCAGTCTGTCGCCTTTTTTGGTTTTTATTTCGATCCACGTCCAACAAACAGTATTCTTTGTCCTGCTTCCAAAGAATATATTTATATCTGGCCATGTAAAAAAGTAAAAACAAACAGTGAATGACATCCCACGGACTATCTCAGCACAACCCTTTGGAGGGTCTGGACAAGGACAATGGGGGAGATAGAGACGTAATTAGAAAATTCTATTACTTGATTTAATGACACGGACTATCTGCGCCTCTCAAAGTGATCGCATCACTGTCTATTGCTTACCTTAACTATTGTTTTCAATCCGTTTTCTCTTTCGTCAATTACAGTCATTCTCAAGAAAATGAGGATTCAGGGCAGATAAGCACGTAACAAAATGGGACTTTGTAACGAATCTCAAATTATTTTTATCTACAAAACGCAAAAAATCTTACAAAGTTACTTTTCTATAAACTCAAATTCTAAATTTAATTTTCCTAAAAAACTACTTATTTTCTAGAGTTGGTACTTTTATTAGAACATGTCAAACTACGTATTTTTACACTATTTGGCTTGAAGTTATGCATATCAAGTTAATGCTACTACGTTATTATGATAATGCATTGGTGTATTATTTTAGAGTATGCATAAAATAATGTGTGCAGTCAAACTTTAATGTGGGTGGTGTAAGTACATACGTGCATGGTTTAAGGCTGCAAGAATTTATGCGTGTTGGGCTGAACAAGTAATCGATTGATGAATGTAATGATCACGTTTTGAAAATTGGGAACCAAATTAAACCAAAAAGTGGCTGCATTTGGGTGGTTGGCTCATTACATTCTTTTTAATGGGATACGATTCACTTTAGCTTATTTGTTTACCCTTTCGTTTGCATGATCTCGCTCAGTAAAATTGTTGTCGGTTTGGTTGTTGGCGTATCAAACTAAATTGTAAATGGGGCGAACAACTTCATCCAAGTAGTCATTAGAGGTTGTGCGTTGGTGGGTGGCATCGTTTCTTAAGGGTGCATAATGGTTATGCTGGATTATTGGGAGAGGTGAATGTTTTTCCCATCAAACACATTTCTCGAGTCATTTGTAATAGATTTGTAATGATTGGTTTGTTTTGTTGGTTTTGCTGATGATTCACTTGATCTGAAAATAAGGGCCAAACGGACCATAATTTAATTGACTGCTCACAATCTATAAATCATCGCATCTCATCTCTGGCGGGTTTGATCATTTCAGCAGAACCGTATGTTCAGCTCGTACAAACTCTTTGATAAACAAATAATAACAGATTATACTCAAAATGCACAAATCCCATCATCCATTGGTGGATAAAAGTGGGAGAGATTTTCTAAAATTACAGTTGTTGATTCTATGAATGGCTGGAGGCTAACGAAGTATGAAGAATCTGTGATGATGGAAAAGAACATGGAACGGATGTTGCTTATTATAAATATTTTACAGGAATTTTTGCTTAGTTCGGAAAATTTCAAGACCAGTAAAAAATTATTACTTTCCTTCACCCACGAAGGTACATGCTATATTTTGTCCAGAACTTTACGAGGAGCTACTACACACAAGTTGTAAGAAACTTGTGACTTCCTTCAGACATGCTGCAGCCAAAATATGTAGCAACACATAGGTTTGTATTTATCGCCCAGTTGGTGTTTTTCAAAGCTTGAGTACCACCAACGGCGGAATGGCATGCTGTAAATTGAGGATATCGACCATTTTGGGTGGCTTACATACAGTGGGCCAACTTCTGAATTGCTCGAGAATGTTATTCAGATTTATAGAAGTCAAGTGTGATTAGAACTGTAGTTAAAATCGCAAAGATACATTAAACGTATGCATAATTTTTATTCCTAATTGTTTATGTTAGTGTCTTGATATGTATGATCTCCAGTAGTCGTTGTGTTTCTGTGCATGTCATAAATATTCTCAAAATATAATGATATACGTGACGCTTGGTCAAATCTCAAAAATATTCATATAACTCACTATCAGTGTGTTGCATGGGAGAATATGCTGTGTAAAATGATCTGTATGCATGGTCAGTGTCCGAATACCTTCACTGGAGTCAACTTTGAAATGAACTTGTTGAGAAAGGGGTTAAAAAGTTGTGAGGTTTAAATTCACAATTTCTAAATCTAAAAGTCAACTGGGAGATGCAATGTCATGTCACGTGAATGTCATATCAGATTCAGATTAAGATTCTCAGAAGGATAAAATGTGAGCATTAAGTGAGGCGAAGGTTGGTCGACTTGTGCTTGTTGAAATGTTGGGAGCTTTATTTATTTTTAGGACTGTACATGTTTGTCACTTTCGATGAAATCGGTTCCTAAGTGTTTAGTTATGTGCTGGTGGTAGTTTTGGAATCAGAGATCAGCCTTTATCCGAGGGTTAGTTTTGTCTGTCATGTAACATGGAAATGAGTTGAACCAAGAAATATGGACTGACTGAGAATCTCATGTAAAATATTGAAGCTGCCTATTTTTAAAAAGGCAGGCATTTAGATTTGTCCCGAAAAGGTCACTTCTGCTGCTGTTTGTGTTTCTAATCAGCCGAATTAGTTTCATGACTGTAGATTTTAAATGCAAGAGAATTTTCTCATGACCTTATAAGTTCACTCGTCGGTGTGTCTGTGACAAAATTGAGATTTGGTCACAGTTAATTAAAAATCTGAAGTATGTACCATTGTACATTCTATGTACATGTATTAAACCGGCAAAAGTTAAGGGCGAACAAATGTGAACAAATGTGTGTTGCAGTATGATGACATTCATTCATTGTGTAACGTGGAGGAATCCGCATAATAATAATAACAAGTAATCCGTAAATGATGAAGTGTATATCCAATTGTTCATGGAAATTGTACTGCATTCGCTTTTTAGACCCACAAGTTTTTATTGTATTGATAATTCAACGTACATTTTAAATGGTTCAAAGAAGCCGAAAACGGAAATTGAATTTAATTAGCGGACATTTATACACTAGTTCATTAAAATTCTCTAGCAATAAGGCACCCTTGGGTATAAATAATTTCAAACGCAATTCAAAATGTTCAGATTACGGATTAAAATGCCTGGTAAATAAACTGTAAATGGGCGTGTATCGAATCGTCCCATTGATTTGTTATTAGTATGTACAAAATATAATTATTTTATAGATTTACATTTGCGGCAGAGGGTCACAATCAAAATGAGTTCCTCCCAAGAAGAAGAATCAGTGTTGACGACATGCTTTCTCCTTCATTTAATATTAATATGTTCATAAATACGTCTACACTTGAGGCATCTTGAAAGAATGGAGGGTGCCCAGGGTCTGGTTTTAATTTCTGATTTAATGCCCGGTACTTGCCCCTATAAACAGGGCTGAATGTTTGCTGTATATTTCCTAGCATCAAAAGTTTGTTGGTTGGTCGTAAAATTTGCATTGAATGAGGGGACTTTATTGCCTCGACGTATCAAGACTTTACTACCGACAGTATCACACACTTGTTGTAAAGCTTTTGACGTAAGGATATTTTACGACACTAGATTTTACAGTCGATAATTCGCAACCAGTAATTTGGTCATGTCGAGCCGTTAAATTTATGAGTATCAACACCTTAGTTCTGGATGAGAAAATTGGTCTAGTCACTCAACCACGTAATAATACATGTCAGCGGAAAGGGAGGTTAGGAGGTTATGGAAAATTAAAATTTACTCAAAATTGGTGGCAAATTGATTAATTTTAACCACAATTATTACTAAGTTATTAATATTATTGAATTTACGAAGAGTCAAACTTTCCAGTAATGAAATTGATAGCATCATCAAACGAAACAGTCGAATAATAAGTATGTCAGATCCGCAAACAACAATGAGACGATGGAGTCAGCTCTCCAATAAACTCAAGTCTCACGCTGCTCACAATTGTTTGAACATGCTTCTTTATCCTTCTTTTTTTGACAACATGCTGTCAATTGATGTTCAATCATCCAAAGCACGTACGCTGTTTACTTCCAATTATGTCTCAATTAAAGAAGTTCCAGCCAACGTAAAAGAAAATACTTCTGGATCAATACTTATGTAAACCACAATTTTTTGATTTCTTTGCAGATCGAGCATTGGAAGACGCACAATTAAGTAGGTCTCACGTAATCATCGTCGTTTACGGACAAATCAAAATCAATTTTACAAAAAACAGACTCAGTTTGTGAAGTTTAAATACATGCAAAATGCCGTCCCTTGAACGCCGCCCGAATGGCTCAAATTCTTCACAGCCCTCATTTGACCACCGCCCAAGTCGACCAAGCAATGGGCACATCCACATTGCTGACAATGGAAATCACACTAATCAAATCTCGAAGCTCCACTGCACCACGACGACGACGACGGCCACCGGACAAGTGCATGGAGACAGGCCCAATCAATTCCAATATAATCAATCGTCCCACGGTCCGCTGAGTCAATTACATTCTCACTGGAACGGAAATCCTCCACCAGTCGGGCATCACGTTCCAAACCCTGCAAACAAAACCAGGCCGACTCATCATCTCGGCTACCAGAGCCGATTCCAGACTAAAATGAAGCAGCCTTCGCTCATTACTTTGGATCGAATGGATTTATCTAACCCACTTTTTCAGTATCCGCTCCTTTCTGGTAAGTTCCCTCTGATTTTGACCAACTAGATTTCATGAGTGTGCATTACATGTACTTATTTATGCTTCTCGATGAGATGAGTCACTGCAGCATTTTGGGTGATCTAACAAATTCTTAATTTATTGCTAGTTCTGGTGGTTGTGTGTCATCGATGACCGACTGACTGTCGCCAGGAAATTGTTGCTGATACGACACTGTTTATAATAATATACATAAATATGAGTACGGTCCAATTTCTCTGGCCACGTTATTGTCGCTTGTAAATTAGAATCAATCTGGTAAAGTTATTCATGCGATGATTAGAATCATGCGAGCAGTTGATTTGGTTATTTTTGGTCGTGTGTTCTCCCACTGGGGGGAAACTTGTCACAAAAATCTTGGTTTTCATCTCAACTTACAACACACATTGTATTCATAACGGGGTTGGATGGACGTTGTTGACTGTGTGTGGTTTTGTTGGTATGTGAAAAATTTCAAACCCCTTTACAAAGTCCATTGTCTCCTTTGTGCTGCCTTCAATGTCACGGGTGTTGTTACTCCATGTTTAATGGTGTAGTAAATGTCACTCTGATTTCGGATAATCGTTCAACATCAGCATCGCCGTAACACTTTTATGACAAGTGTATTATTATGTTTCACTCGCTGTATAAAATATGAGGGCGACAAGACGAGTTGCATTTCCTCCCACCCTTTGTTCAGTCCTGGATCCTATAAAAACACATGACGACGGTTGTTGCAGGGGAAATGCGTAACGAACTTTTAACGTGTCATTTTCTAACTTTAGAGTTAAACCCTTCCTGCTAACGATAAGCCATGCACACACGAAGCCTGGATGCACCGCCCTTCTCTATCAGTCATTGTACCCTGACACAAAGTCAAACAAGGGGTGGAGGTGGAGAATCGTAGAAGGAAGCTGCCTGTACACGGAAATATGTGCGCCATGAATTATTACCGTCGATTTATTGACCATCAACCTGCACTTTAACACACAAATCTGAATAGGTTTCTCTCTTTGTTGGTTTAATTTGTTAGACTGAATAATGAGCACTGCGTAATGTTATGTGCAGGAGGAAGGAGTGAAAAATAGGCTGCTTGGGCATAGAAGACGTCTTTCAGGGAAGCGTTGGATGATGAAAGGAGGTGTGGGACCACCCTGAATCTTTCTCGCATTGGCGTTTCTCTGGATGTATTTTTATTCCGTACGACCGTGCATCAGTTCTTGAAGGAGCAGTTCCTATTTTAAGTGAGTGTGCCACACATGCAACCATACAGTTTAAACGTTGACGGATGCAAATTGCTGAATGTTAATTAGAAAAGTCCACACATTTATTTTATCGCCGAACGAGCAACAAGTTCAGTATGTCGTAATTCTCGACCTTGCCGAAAAATTGCCATGAAAAGTTTATTGACCATCTTAATAAACGATAACGCACGTCATGCATATTTACATATGAGATATTTTATTATTCCTGTACACAATGCATTATTGTACTTACATACGTATACATAATTTGAGAAAGGGATACATAAATATATTGCGCAGTTGGTTAGTTAGTAGTGATTTTGCTGACAGAAAGTCTCCCTGTGGAGTAATTATTAATAGGTGCGCGGAGTCTGCTTTTGTCTTAAAAAGAAAGTGAAACTAAACAGATTTTTAAAATTTTGACGTCGGGTTGAAGAGTTCAATTGTGTAGATAGGTCGGGAAAAGAAGGATGATGAGTTACTGAGATTAGTTGGATAAGACGAGGACCGTAGAAAAATCAGTGCCACCTTTGCGGGGAAATGCACAGAGGAAAAGCGAGTCTGCTGTCAGTCTGCTGCAGATGCTCAAGAGTTGAACTCTTTTGTTAACTAGTTTTGGCACTTTGTTAGTTTAACGTGAAGCTCGTAAACGCATTAGTTTATTTTTGTTGGAATTTAGAATCCACTGTGCTAAACTTGAACTCATTTCAACAAATGAATGAGTGTGTGCAGCGAAGTCGAGCTCGTGCTGCTCTTTCATTAATGAGCTTCGAAATTGACCGGAAATAGGAAGTCAATGTCAACCACGGAAAAACAGCAATTAACCACCTTTCTTTCTAACTGGGAAATACAATTTTGTGAATTTGAACATAAACAAACCAAACATGGATCCAGGAACAATTAATTCGTTGTAAAAATTTATAATTATGCAGCTCAACGAACCATCATCACGGTAATCAATATAGAATACGCTTACGTATGCAAGCACTACAATTTAATTTCTACAATTGCATTTCTCACTTCCGTTTCATGCTAGGATCGCTCACAAAATTGGAATGTCAGTAACCGAATTCTTTGACAAAATGAGCTGAAATGTGTGAGTTGATTAAGCCAGAAATGCATACATACGAATGTGGCTTTTTTGGTTTATCTCGTCTCAAGTTCTACATATTTCTGTATAGAAAGCCCAAAAAACTGAGTAATTGGTTTCACTCTTCTCAGCACAAATGACAAAGTTGCATCTTTTCATCGTTCCAGTTAACGATTCAGTTTCGTCGAGTACGGAAAATCATCCCCCGTGATTCATCGAATGGGGTTCAGGTTACTTGGTGGTGCGTGCCATCATCCAAGACTTTTAACTGAAACGCTGCGTATATATCTGCCTGGGTGGTGATGTTAACGTTAATGTTCATTCATGAGGACACCGTCACGAGTTGTGCCATCAAAACCTTTCCTTTCATTGCCATGTGCATGCTCTCCTGGTTTCGGCAGATGTGAGAAGAAACCGGGCGTTTTCTTAACCGGCACATTTTATAAGATACAACAAGTCTTCTGTTAACGTGTGCTTCTAGAAGCACATGCTCTGCGCTGTTTGTATGGGGGCGAATGTTTACGTGCAATAAGGAAAAGGGTAGCATCTCGTCCAACTCGTAGAGATATTATAGCATCAACTCTGCGATGCGTGCGAGGAGAGTTCTTCTTATGAAGTCTCAGGCCCAGCTCCAGAGGAAAAAAAACCAAGAGCAACAAAAGTTAAATTTAGATGAGAAACTCAAATTCGACGACAGATTCAGAAATGTAGATTCAAACCGTGTGTTTATCCAGACTTGGACTAATGCAGTTGAAACCGTATCACACAGCGTCGTCTCAAGAAGCGTTTCAAAAAACGGTTCGCAACTGTGCACCATTTCCATTTCTAGGTATCATTTGTGCATCTTCGTGTGAATATTAAGCCAGTGCACTGGTTTGTTTGCCAGTTGCTTGTTGTTTGCTGGAAAGGCATGAGACGCAATTACAGAGACATTTAGCTCTTCAGTGTCGACTCGCCTGCCTCCCACTCCCTCGTCGTGTGGTATCAAGTTTACAGTCTTTTGAGAGGTGAAGGCTAAACAAATTCCCTTTCGAAACAGCATTGAAGACAGAAACTGCACATTTGGTTATAATTTAATTTGCCGTTTGGAAAATCTGACGTGCGGGGTAGTTGATGCGGTGAAGGGAGAATTTTTGAAATTTTCTGCATTCCAGAAAAATGAAGATAAGAATTTGACGTCAAACTCCAAATTTATGTGAATCTTGATCAAAATTAAATTGCGGAAGCTCTGAGTGAGCAAGACTTGCACAAGTTCTGAGTTGAATATTTCTGTGGGGTTGAGATTGTCGAGCTGTTGCAGTGAGTCAAGGGGAGAGTTCATTAGTAAATATGTAATTGTGGATGAGTTAATCAAGAACATATCTCGAACAACCTCCAGCAGGAGAAACAGTTCGCACAGATTACTACTTGCTTTCCTACCGTCGCCGTGTTGCACAAACTTGATTAAAAAATATGGTTCATTAATTCAATGGAGTTTGAACCCCAAAATGTGCCAAAGATGTTGGATCACCACGTGTAAGCATTTCGGTTTGAACTTGATCCTGAAAATTAGCCCCACATAGAGTGCATACATATGTATTTACATGCCGTGATTATGGCAGATTGATTAAATTCCTGGTCGGAGGTCGACCTTTTTATGAAGGAAGCTGGATGTCGAAAATGCTTGGGGGAATAATTTCTAAAATATAAATTACCACCATTTCGCATTTTTATGAGTTTATTAACTTGGGCGAGAGTCGTCAAATAATGATGTGATTATAATACATAAAGCACAGAAAGGTGTCTATTAACCATCTCGGACATTTCGAAAAGTTTGAGAAGCAAACATTGGGCAATAAAACATTATCATGGGCGACGGTTGTTGTGTTTTGTGCGCAATAAACTAGCAACTTGATAACATTATCATTACCATAAATTCATTCGTTTATTTGAGAGAAATTGGAGAAGATGAACATGATGAATAGAGTTCGAATTTTAAATATGGGTTTGACCCATGCTAAATAGTTGGCCAGGGGGAAATAGCCAGAAATGGCAGTGATAATGTATGGGGGTTATTTTAATGGCTCTCGGTGGTGAAAAATTGTAACGCGACGTTTGGCCGACCAAATATTATTGCAATAGCTCAAAAGCCTGAAATTAATAATTCAGCTTCTCTATCATTATCAGTAAATTATTGAAAAATCTAACAGTGGTTTTGCTCTGTGTATAATTTTGAGGATTCTGTCTGCGTAATATGCATGACGTGCCAATAGGCAGTGGCAAATAACTTGATTGGCTCAACCTTGACATTCGTAGGATGAGAATTGATAAATTAGAACCAGACAAACACATTCAAGACAAGAAAATACTTATCGTGTGTTGTCAGTTGTAGAATAGACACGTCTGTACATACATGTGTAGTATGCAATACATGGTTAAGCCATTTGTTAAACAAACATATATCATAATCATCATCTTTTAAATTAATGACACTAAAATTATATTATCCAGTGATATCATGTGATATACTTACTTGTTAGTAGGTCGCGAAATATCGCACTAAAATATTTACTATTGTGAATACTGTTGGCTTACTAGGCTACATGGCATAAAAAAGTAAGCTTACGTATCTGCTTACATGCTAAGCCAGTCACACGTCCATAGATAATTGTTGTACAGATTTTTCTATAATTGGGATGAAACCCTATTCTAATTGAATAGTTTAATTCTTCTAGTATACACTGAATTTCAGGTATTTTAGTTCAATGGCGATATATATGTGCCAGTTTAATTTTTAAATCCGGACAGTTACCCACCTTCTTATCCGTAGAATGACGGAAATGACTGCATACAGACATGATACATCTGTATGTGCATTACATAATGCAGTAAATTCATATAGTTGAACATTGCAAAAATGACGTGACGCTGTTTCTTTTTTTAGTGCGGAGACCACCATTTGTATTTACCAAGTCTTGAGAGATGTATTTGTAAACATGCATCTCTCTCAACTCCTCAACCGCACGCCAATTTTTAGCACTCCTTTGCTCGTTTTTTGCAGCATTTCCACATCTGCTTGCATGACTGAAAACAGAGTGAAACAACAGGAGAAGAGGATGAGGCGTGTGCCAGTCAGCTATCCTGTTTGTGTGGCATCATGTTATCAACTCTGTTAAAGTGACATTAATTTTATACAAAAAATGCTCAAGTGCTCGTCAATGCAAATTCTTGGATGTGAATTAAATTTCAAATATCATGCCAAATTTTACTTTGAAAGCTGTCGGCGGATATTTTCTCTCGTGGAAATAAATATTTAGAAATTTTACTACGTTTATAGCGCAATCCATTTACCTATCTCACAGACAGAACTCACAATTAATGATACATTAGCTTCTCAATTTGTAATTAATACTGATAATGTAATACCAATTGATTCATTAGCAGATAGTATTTCAAAATACGAAATAGAGTACTCATCTCTTGACACAGCAGAAGATTTTCAATTAGTCACAGTGGAAGAAGTCAACACAGCGATTAATGATGTAAAAAAAGATTGCTCGTCACTATTTTATGTACCACTTGTTATTTTAAAACGTTGTGTTGATATTGTGGCTTTTCAACTTGCAATTTTGTTTAATCTAATATTAGTTAATTGTGTAGTTCCGCAGCCTTTTAAGATCACAAATGTAACCCCATTGTTTAAGGGGAAAGGATCAAGATTTAATCCGACAAATTATAGACCGATTAGTGGTATTATTGTTTACTGCAAAATATTTGAACGGGTATTATACCATAGATTACAAACTAGAATAGATGCAAAATTATGTAATGAACAGCATGGTTTTAGGAATAATCGGTCTTGTCACACTGCAATAGTGGAATTATCCAATTATATTTATAAAGCCTTGGACCAGACGAAAGGCAAATGTGTAGTTGTATATTTTGACGCAAAGTCAGCGTTCAATAGTATAGATCGATCGTTATTAATTAAAAAACTAATGGATCAGTATAAGTTACACCCTATTTATGTTAAAACTTTGAATAATTACTTGACGAATACGTTATTTAATATTAACAATGGGGGCAAATTGTCAACTAATTATTATTGTAATGAGTCAGGCCTGAATCAAGGGGGGTCGATTTGTCCAATGCTTTATGGAGCTTATCAGGATGATATATCAAAAATTATCACTGTTCCCTTCTTGCTTTACGCCGATGACTTGTGTGTGTATGTATCTGGTAATAATTTGGAGGAAATACTGTGTATTTTGAAAGCCCAGATAAAATTAATACAAGAATGGTATGAAAAAAATAATATGGTCATTAATTATACAAAAACCAAATATCAAATATTCCACAAAGCTAATGATAAAATCCCAGAAGAGTATGTACATGTACCTCTGTTACTTGAAAATGGTTATGCAATTGAGCAAGTTTCTACATTTAAGTATTTAGGTATTGAGCTTGATTCCACGCTAAGTTTCAAGGATCACTTTGAACAAGTCCAAAAAAAGGTTTCTAATAGTATTGGTTTTTTGTATGGTATAAAACGTTATTTAACAGATAAGGTTATGATTTTATTACTTAATTGTTATGTACATTCAATAATCGATTATGGTATAACTATATGGGCCACTCTCCCAGACTCGCAACTTGGTAGATTACAACGTAAAATAGATCAATATCTTGTAAACTTCTACCTTCCAGTAATTGCCAAAAAACAACGTGCGCGGAAGGCAAGTAGATATAAAGAGTTAAGAAATAAGATAGATGTAGTCCAACTAAGAGAAAAGTGTGGTATTCTCCCAATTTTAGAACGTAGAGATTTATATTTACTTAAATATGCTTTTAAATATCTGAGAGAAAGTGAGAGTTCTTCGAGGTCACAGCGTAGTTTCCCACTCCTTAAAGTGCCAAGTGTTCGCACTTCTATAGCAAAAAATTCAATTAATTTTTGTGCCATAAAATTATGGAACTCTCTTCCACGTAATTGGGAAAGTAATTTAACTTTTCCTAAATTCGTACAGCAGTGTAAAGAATTGCTTTTGTCAAGAAACAAGAATTGTTACATTTATTATTAATTTATAGATGATTAGATTAGTGCTTTTAAATTATAGCATTTCTGTCATGAATTGGAAACCAGCTTATATTAGCTGATATTTGTTGACAGTTGAATAAAGGTTTACAATACAATATCTATTTCCAACTGTCTAATTCTTCTGTCTTGTGTGAGGGTTGTATAAAACGGCAAATAAAAAGTTAAATATAGACAAGAAACATGAGGGTAATATGTTATTAGTGATGTCAACACTGTAATCTCACATAATCTATTGATTTGTAGGAAAAATCAAAACAGACTTGGAAATTACGTATAAACAAGCATGTCTTGGTACTATAAACTAACCCATAACTCGTAACTGCTTCATCGTGATGGTGTTATCAGGTCGTTGGATTGAATCGCCGGGTCAAATTAATAAATCCAGACACATTGAAAACTATTAAAAGTCATATTCGTATTTGCTTAACTTCACACATTTCTAAGAGGTTGGTTGGTTGGTTTGCAAAATGAAAGTCCATAAAACTGGATAGATGATCGAGTTCATCGCTGAAATGATGCGATGCATTACATGTGTACTCCTCAGATGTCTTGAGCCATTCCTTTGAGAATTCTGCTCTTGCTGCACAATCCATTACGAGGCTAATAAGTGTTGTCATAAAAGTAATTTAATTCAATGTATGTGTGACAGCAAGAGTCATATAGTTTCATCTCAGATATTTTTTACTTGCTTCTCACCAACTGAAAGGCTTGCATGATTGAATGGCATCTCCAGGGATTCTGAGACATGGTGGCCACCAAGTTGTTACTGTTTGGCCACTCAATTTAGGTGTGGGCTAGATTAAAGTGCATTGAGTTGTAGTAAGTGTAAAAAAAAAATTCTGAATTAATTTTCCAGGAGTGACCATGCTTGGGAGTGGGAAAAACACAGTAAAACCACCTGACATTGTGCTTCACGGTCCTCAAATCGCACCTCAACACGCCTTCATCGAACGACTCGGGGATGAGGTAATTCTCCATCCGATCAGCGAACACACCTCTGTGGACGGTCGAAAAATACACGGCCCAACGTCGCTCGAACAAGGTGAGTTCATTCAATCCATTAGTTTATTCGCCGGTCAACGCTGAAGGAATGAGGTAAATATGTAAAGTGATATGCGCGCATAATGAATGATCATCGCCAGTTTTAGTGGTTTAGTGGTGCAAGATTTATTCAAAATGAAGTCAGTTTTGACACGGGCATCGTGTAATGCAATCCTAAATGTCGCATTAAGGTTTAAGAAGTATTAATTTGAAATAAATCGTGGATAGGTCGCCCATGTCTCGGAGGTCAAAATGTTTTTTTTGTCAACTTGACAAAGTATTGTTGACCCCATCTGGTTCGGTTGTATAAGTGGTTTTGTCACCGTGGACGGTCCGGGAGGTATTATGGGATGCATGGAAATCAGGGATTGTCTAGTATTTGTGGAGTTTAAAGCCAGGCAAGATTTATTTTTCAACTTTTCGAGACTATCAAGTTAGAAGTTGGATGAAAAAAGTAAATATTTCAGTGCGGCACCCGCAGACAGATACCAGTTTTATATACCACAGGCCAACGTCAACGGATCCAGTATTAATAAAACTGACCTACAAACAAAGAGGGGAGAAGAGAGATACATTGAATTACATGCACCATGCACCAGTCTTTTGTCATCGTCAGCTTCTTTCGGTCAGGTTGTTGCATTTGTCATCCGTCTTTGTTGTCCCAATGTTTGGACGTGCCGTGTTTTATGTAGATTTTAACTGCACAAGAATGCCCATGTGTATTTTATATGCACAGATGTAAATATGTGCGGTAGCTCTAAAGAATTATCTTTTGCATCTATCACAAGACATGCATAATTTCGATTGAATCCAATCTTCACTGCTTGATGGGAACAGCGAATGTTTTGAACAGAATATATTAATATTGTATTTCATGTTCTGGGGTTGATAGATGAAAATTTGGGTCATGCGATGAACTCGTTGGTGTGATAAAATGGGAGGTTTCCAATTTCACAAAAATGATTAGTCTCATGGATCGAGAATAATAACAAGAATATTTTTTAGATTATGTTTTTGTCTCCTATTTCACTTTTCTGAGAAAATTATCACCTGATTCTTAAACATGTTGTTGTTTTTGTTGTTAAATAGTTTCGAGATTACGATTTAAATAAAGGATAAATCTACATCCATCACATTCCAATTGCTAAACCATAGCAGGAACAGAATAGTAGATATGTAGTTGTGTGGGTCGACTGTCGGCGTCTTAACCAGCTATAAAATTATGTTCGACAGGTCCGTGTGTGCGTAATTATGATTCAGCAGCCTTTTACTAAGCTTTTGCGGTCCAAGACGATCTTGGAACTAGTTGGACATGCAATGTACAATTCATGTGAACTGATAACATCAGAAATCCGAAACCCAATTTCTATCAACAATATTGCAGTCAATTTAACACGCACATTAGATTAGAACGCGTATTACATGCATACATGTAGATCCTTAAATGACATATTTATAAGTATTACGTATTATGTTCAAATCGTTGGAATTTTAGCTCCTATTGCGTTCCAAAATCACAAAATTCACAACTAGTTGCTCCACTTGTCAAAATTGAAAGAACGGACAAGATGCACCCAAGAATATCTCAGATTTGAGAAGATTTATCAGTTGTCAATGAAGACGATGATAACCTTTGGCTTGGTATGTTGGTAGATGCAATTTAGGATTGTGGACTTTGGAACATGAGACGACGAGAGAGTGATGAAGTCGAATCTTGATTTGTGGACTTGGCATTTGACACTCTGACCAAATTACCTACATATTACTTGCTTTTAGTGATCATTGAGATTACAATTTTCCTTTTGGAAGGTGCTCCCTCATTTTATTCCACCTGCGTCCATTTAAATTCCTGTGTGTGCCCTTCCTTGCCTTGCTGCATATTGCATTACTTCTCAGAAAATTGTTGATGTCCTAAGTTTTGCACGAGATATACATATGTTCACATAAATACATACGTGTATTTATTAAAAATATTATCTCGTGTATCCTCCTGCCAGTAATGCTAAATTCATGTAAAAATGCTGTTGCGGATTTCCCACATTGAAGCGACGCATCTTGTTTGCGTAACCTTCGTTGTCCGTCAATATATTATCATTATTTAAAATTTCTATGATATTAGTTCCTATCGCCGAGAGTAAGTTTCATATCAAGAGCTAGAATCCCAGCCAGGTTGCCTAAATTGCTAAAAACTATTTTTAGCAGTTATTACTTTGGGCATTAAAACCACTTCGAGTCGATGTGTTACTGGCGATAGTCTCCCAACCTTATTACACGTTCTTCTGTGTAAACATGTTTGAATACACCGAACAATACTTTTGCCGGAAATGGGAATCCTTTGCCATATAAATACATACATACTTCATAAAATGTGTCTTTTACAGTCTTTTGTCTCGACTCGAGACGCTAAAAAATATTAATAGACTTGTGAAAGGCAAGTTAAAAGCACTGCGAGCAAAGCGATGCCAACAAGAAAGCATTCACCGAGTTATGATGATTGACTTCCAAATGGAACCATCTTTCCAACGCTCTGCTGGTACAGCTAATCGTAAGATTTTGTTCAATTAGCTCTGCATTGCCATTCTCTATCCACACAGATATCCGGGTGCGTATGTACGTGCATATGTTTCAATGAGCAGACCATGGAAAAACTTGTCATAATTTATAGCTAATTAACTTCCACTTGGACGATAGATAGCATCTCAAAATGCCAAGTTCTTTGTGCTTTCATGTAAACATTACGCAACACTTTGCATGGAGATAACAACATGTCTTTTACAAAGAATGATTTTGAGAGAGCAAGCAAGGTCTCATAATTTAAGGACTATCTACAATCTTCCTGCGATGGATTGTTTATCATAAAATTTCTCGCTTCGCATCCTCTTTAACACCTCCTCCACGACATTCCGATAAGCAACATATGCGAGCAGCAACAAGTCCACGAACATCTTGGCGTATACGAGAAAGAAACCCTTTGTGCGATTAAGAGATGATTTATGTCTTCGACTTGGTCGTCTTCTTGAGACTGGAGAAAAGAGAGAGAGAGAGTCGATAGCTCATTGCTGGAGGATGCATGTTGAATAAAATTGTGTACATATCGATGCTCCCTCCACCTCCTCCTCCTTCAGCCCTGTTGCATATCTAAACTGGGTTAATTTAGTGCCAGCTATTTCTATGCGTTTCTCATGAATGGATTTTTGTTGCAGGAAATCTAATTAGTATTGGGGACTCTTATTTCTTTCGGTATGACGGACCTCCGCCGACCTCCCCCTCGTACGGGCCACACAACAGCAACACCACCGTCTACTTCGAGGAATCCCCATACGCCGTCATAAATCCGAGTAAGTCTCATAAATCTCGACCCATTTACATTGAATATTCAAATCAAAATGTCAATATTAATTTAGGTGGAATAATATTGAGGATTTATTTATTCTGGGTTGGAGGGGTTAATGGTTATTATTTCTGGAACGCAGGCATGCATATGGGTTGTAAATCCCGTAAATCTCTCGTTCTCGTCGCTCGTAAAGTTGTGGTCAGTCTTTTATTACAGGACCAGCGAGCAAGCTAAGTAGGATAATGATATCTTGGTTTTTGTGACCCAATGTTTATCTTCAGTTTAATGACACCTGCAGAACATCGCACCCAAAGACGACTACGATCAAGAGATACGTTCCGTATGGATTTCTCGTATTGATTTTTGCCCACTTTACATTTACTCTGCCGTCTTATGTGTTTGCCCGCTGATGGTTTTGCGAAGCTCCGTCTTAAAATTTTGAGGATCCATAATCTGAATGCTTATGGTTTCGAGGACAAAAGACATGCAACTACCGTACCCTTTCCTTCAGTGGGCACACACACATCAAAGAAAGTCAAGACGTGGCATCAGTTAACTCACTTCCTCCTCCACTCACTTTTATTTTAAGACCTCTTCTTCTTCTCTAGAATTCAAGCAGGATGTTGTTAATTGAGAATGAATAAGGGGTACCTATATTAACTATTCACAATCTGTGCACCGTTGTATGCCTGCCTATTTACTTACTTGTCATCCATTAGTCGTCGAGTTTTGGAGAGCTTTACTAGGTTAAACATTTTAGTGTTGGGTTGGACCTGAAGGACTGAGCATTGAGAAAATCATCGCTTCACATCAATTTACGGTGCATTTCTGCACATTTGCTTCTGTGAGTTAGGATTGACAGTCACCTTTTGTACCTGGATGACCAACTCTTGGCCTCTCTCGATCTTGTTCGTTGGACGCAAGTGGCGAGATGTTATAAGTATTTAGTTCACCAACGCAGCATCATCAACCCGAGATTAAAGAGAATCAGTTTGTGCTTTGTATTGTGACGGGACAAACAGTGATAACAAGTTTGATAAGTGTTACATATGCACGCTGTGGCCAGGTAGACAGGCTGCCCAACTGACCCGACATTCATTTTCCAGTTCTATTTTGTGAGGGAACCGAGAAGATTGTTTTATTTGAGTGAACTTTGTGATAAATAATCCTTTTCTCACCTGAGGCTTGCTCCTTTAAAAACGAGAAAAGTTTGTAGTTTAAACAAAACCAAACTATGCAATCCGAGTGAAGCATTTCCAAGTTGCAAGTGAGATTGAAAGACAAAGTAAGTTATCGAACCGTAGTTTATTTAGAGGAGCAGTGTGTTGCAGGGCAGAGTTACATATCTGGAAACACCTCAGGTTGAGTTATTATGAAGCAATCTTCTTATTAGAGCTGATGCATCCGAGAGTTTGAGTTATTAAGAAGATCTAAGGCTTTAATGGAGCTATAGGAGCAGAAGGTATGTACATGTGTACACACCGGGTGAAAAAGTGGTAATATTTACCCTACTTTTAGGTCCACCAAGAAAAAGTTTTTGGAAAATTAACACTTTACGAAAGAGTTGTAGCACTTGCAGTGGTGCTCGTCTGAAGTGAAAATTGGTTGTGGAAGATTTATTTTATGAGAGCTATGCACACCACGTAATTCAGGGTTTTGGACCATGAAAAGGATTGAGACCCTGAGAGAATGGTGGTTCCTTTGGTTAAGTTCCTTTGGTAGGCATTCATGTCTGGGATTTTGGTGGTGTATTGTGGCAGTTGAGCATTAAAGAAATTGTTGTGGGCCAACATTTTAACGTCTAAATCAAGGGAGGACGACTGAAAGGGATACTTTTTATAATCCGAATAAAGGGATTAAAAAACCACAATCGAGTATTAGAAAGCAATAAAAGTGGAGAAGGTTGTTGCATCTGGTTCTTTAAGTCCTCGTCATCTGCTTCTTGTGATATCGCTAACAATCCTTTTGTCCCAATGACAATAGGATTTCGTGACTGTGGGCGGTTGTGGAAGGATTACACAACAAGATTTTAAATTTTTATTAAAAATGGAACTAAACCTGGACCTCTTATTATTGTGATTGACAGGGTCGAGTGCTCATTTTCGCCCAGCAGGAGGGGACAGTGGTAACAAAAACCCGTTTCCGATCATGATGATAGAGTCCCCTCCCCAGTCCTCCTCCGCGTCATCCCTCACCCTCGAGTCAGAGTCCCAAGTATGCCACCCCGACAATGACCGAACTGACCAGAGCTTCACCAGCTACCCCAGCCCAAGGTCGTCTTCCGCATCCACCACGACCTCCGACCCCGACCAGACAAGCTCCCTCTGCACAGAAGACTCTGGCTCCAGAAAGTACAGGGATGGCCTCGAAAGTGATCAATTTATGAATAAAGTAGCTCGTTTCGAGTTTTTGACGCATACTCAGCCTTCATCGTCATCCCCCCCATTTCCATTGAATGGTGGGAGCAATGGGAACCATGGTGGGGACCAGCAGCGCTCTTGTGGGAATGGTACCACCTCCAGTCATCATGGAAACGGTGGGTACTTGTCCAGCGAAGGGCTCTTGTACAGCAGTGGTAGTGGTGGGTATCATCATCAAAATCACTACGGAGAGAAAAAGGTACTCTCGAGACCAAATGTGAACTTCAACCGAAGTGACCAAGGCTACGGGTACAAGGATGATTCATCACTCTACTCCAACTCTTCAGTGTCTCCGCCAGACAGGGCTTCAATTTCGAATCAAAATAACTCCTCCAAATCTTATCGACGACCTGGAGTTACATTTTATGAGGATGGACGTCTGACTTCGCCTTCGCCAGCAACCTCTTCCTTCACCACCACCACTGACACCATGGACCATCGCGATGATCATGACGAGGAGGACTCATTAAGTTCCATCTCCAACCACCACCATCTCCATCATCACCACAATAACAATAATCATCGTCTGCCGAAGAGTCAGAATTTGAATCATTTCCATCACAATGGGAGCAATGGAGGTGGGGATCGGGTGCCAAGTCGAAGTGGCAGCACCACCAGCAGCACTTCGAGCATTATTCCGTCTCACCATCAATTCAATCTTTACAATAACAATCATCATGCGGACCATTATTCTCGTCCTCTCAATGGAAACAGCAGCAGCGAGGCTGAGATTGCCTGCGAGACGCTGCTACAAATTAAAAGAAAGCAGGTACTTGCTCTTGTACCACAAACTAAAAACTCAATGGTGGCTTTAATAACTTATTGCAATCTGCATGATTAATTCCTATGCACATGTACTTGTACCCAAACATATTACGCATCTGTATCGTGTCTTTGCGACTGGATGTATACATAATATTTGAAGAATGAATTGCCTTTGAAATTTAAATTCATTTCAACCTGAAAATGAGATTGCATAATACCAAATTAAAACTGGGCGCAATAACAAACTTTTTTAATCGTTAAACTTGTAGTCGTTTAAATTAAAATTTGCTTCGCCTTATTCACTCTTTGAAATCGTCCACACTGATTTATGACTCTGTAATATTTTACTTGTCATTAGTTCTCCAGAAAAATCCGTAACAAGAATTGAGCATTCATTTTTGCGTTTGAATACGAACCGCACCCGGAAATTAATTGTTCTGTGTTTTTTTTTAAATTGCTGTATGGCATTTTTTTTCAGGCAGAGGAGGCCAGAACAGCTACAGACATGTCTCGAAAGCAGGACGAGCTTTGCCTGGATGAAATTGTGGCAATGTGTGAAGAGTACGAAGAACAAATTGCAAAGGAGATTCAAGAAAATAAGAGGAAAAACTCTTCAGCGTCGGCTTCCACTCTTTCGAGCATCACATCCCCTTCGCCCTCGCTGAGTTTGCATTCGAAGACTGCGGATTCGACGAACGAATCTTGTGATAGGAGTGGTGGTGGTGTGGTTGGTGGTGCTAATTACAACAGACAAATGCAGGTTCACAACTGGAAAAGTGGTCAAGGGAAAGAAGAGGAAACTGCACCACAGCCGAATGCAAACCTGAAGTCGCCGACCAGTCCAACAGGTGGATACAATTACGGCAGGTATGCAATTTCAATTTCACACCTGAAAGAAATGTGTATTAGTTTCGCTTGTCAACGTCAAAATGCTTAGACAAGCTTTTCACCGGCCCATTCACTGGGGTCGGTTAGTAAAAGTGTTGATTGTGATGGTTAATGGGAAGAAATGGCTTTTTTCAATGCCTCTCATCGAATGCTGGAGGATATGAAATACGATAACAATTCCCAATTACTCATTCTACTTGTCACATTATCATGCAAGATTTAACTATCGTCTTGATTGCTAGATGAAAAATGGAAGTGCAATTTTTACAATTTTTGCATCGTTCTACGCGGTATGAATGGGACGACAAGGTTAAGGGTGTATTAATAGATAATTATATTTAAGAGGAGCTGGAATTTGAATGACTTTTGTTTTTCTTATTAATTATGCTGCACCTGAAGGTTTTTTATGATCTCGTCGTTCTTTTCATACTTAATGAATAAATGAAGGAATGGCAGGACTGATCAACAAGTTTAACATACTTTCATCTCTTCACTGGTTGGTTGGGGAGTAACTTCATTTGTTTAATGTGTGTAATTTAAGCACATGGTGTTAGAAAGGTTAAAACAACAAATTGTTGATTGACTTGATTTAAACATGACTCGTTTCGTCATGGAGTGTGATAAGATATGCCATTCACACATTCACACTTTGCATTCACCATCCCACAGAGATAGGGCTTGGATTTATTTGTTCAGCATCACCGGATGTTTATGAATGTTGATTCGATTAAACTTTTTTCCATGTATAAAGAGACTGCGTCCATTCAAATTGGATAAAGCATTATGTGTGCATGTATATTTTGAAGAATCATATCAAGTGGTTTTATCAAATTATTCACCATTGCACTACAGGCACGACCGAGACGAGCGGAGAAGCTAGATTACGGTCGAGACTTTTGAGGGAGGGGAAATGAGACGAAATTAACCAACCTACTGAATAAAACATGCTTTGGCTTTTATTTTTATAGGGACGATCGCACTTTTTCTTCCTTTCTAATTGTTTATTTACCCGTTATTACACTGTTGTAAAGTAAGAATTCGATCGTATCAGTGACTAATTCTGGAGTTTGGGAACCAGTTTTCTAACCCTTCATCTTCCTATTTTAAAACTGACCCCAGTCCGTCGGTCGGTGGAGTGAAAGGCTTTTTTCTGATTTAAAGCAAATGTTCATTGAAATTCCATCGAGCTCGTTCTCCTGGTTCTCATCCTCCTCGATGGAATTACGGGACGGTTAGTAGCATTTTTTAGGTCAGGTGACATGGTCCATAAACGGTCTATGATGATCATTATATAAGTTCATCTCGAGTATGTATGTACGTTCTTGAGCCCTTTTATTACCGTTTTCAGATGCTTTCAAGAGGAAACCATTGCGTAATTAACTTGCTTTTTTTATATTTACACAGTTAACCAATGTAGCCATAAAGCGCACCTCTGCCAGAGTCAATTACAATAAATAAGTTGCATAGTTTCCACATGTCTCTTGTCTGAGGCTATTTTAGCCGAGGTTAAGCCAATGCTGACACTGGAAAAGCCATCTAAAACAACATTCATTTGTAGTGAACTCTTGAAATACAAATAAGGAAATGAAGTCTGCCATGAACTTGGTGATGTGCAGGCTTTATTACGCAATTACTTTCATTCATGCAAACTGTGGGAGTGGCATTTCACGGTTGATTACTCTAGGAATTCAGCATTTCGAACAACACACGAGCACATGAAAATCATGGCACGAAGACGACCATGTTAATTAAATGTTTACATTTTTATTTATTATATTTCAGAATTAAGACGAATGGGTCTCTACCACGAGATCTTTCGAGGAGTAAATCCGCCTCCAATGTGCCAAACCGTTCCAACGTTTCATTCGCCGACGAAGAAATCTCGTCAATATTTACCTTCAACATGTCCGATAATGCTAGCAATCAGTCTTCCTCCTTGAACGGCGGCTTCCACTCCTTCTACCACGGAATGCCGGACGACGTCTTCTCCTCTCCTCCTTCCATGATAACCATGAATAATTCATCCACCAGCAAAACCACCTCTTCTGCTACCAATGGCCACGTCAAATGCCACACAAATCCAGGTCTGAGCTTCCGAAATGGGTCCAGTCCTTACGAAAATGTAATGATGACCAGTGGTGAAAATTTCAACTACCCTCCGCTTCAAGTCCAAACTCCTCCGCGTCTCGGAATTAGGGCAACGGCAGGAGTGAGCTTAAGTTGCAGAACAATGACTAATAATGGTTGCCCTGCCACGACGAATAATGGACTTGTGGACATCCAAAACCAACAACAGCAACGAGGACAAAGCATGGAACCGAGAAATATTGGGGACAACGGAATTATGCCCAAGTCACCACCTCCTCCTCAACAACAGCAACACAATCTCTCTCCCCGAGTTCCACTAAATTGCACCACCTCCAGTTCATACAGTAGTTCGAGTCCCGATAACCATAATCATAATCACAATGGCAGTTTGCCGGAAAAAGTGGAGCACATAATTCCCATCTCCGTCACACCAACCCCACCGAAATCTAAGTTGTCCGTGTCCTTTGCAAATAGCGTCAAGGAATTTGGGGAGGAGGACGACAGCAGCAGCAACCGGGACGGTGAAAGCGAGAACGGTGGCAAACAGGGCACAATAATCATGCCAAGTCCTAGTGGAAACGGTGCAATCAGTGAAAGTTATAGTAATGCAAATTCCAGTAACATAATTTCCAACAAAGATTACAATCGTTCTGTCGTTAAAACAATAGCAACCGAGGTTCAGGTGCATGTTGTAGAATCTCAGAGTGCGAGTGGTAATAGTAACGACACTAACGAGGTGGATGGGATAAGTGCAAATAATAAAAGTGGGTCCATCGGCAATGTGAGTAACGGGTGTTCGTCAGGAGCGTCTCATTACGCGGACGCAGAGAATATAAATCAACCGATTCAATCGTCTCCTCCTGCGATCTGTATTTCCAAGTGTGCCGATGACGTTAAAGCTCCTCAAAGAACATGGGATTCTGTAAACATTGGGAGCCAATGTTCATCATCATCAGCATCATCACATTCAACAAATGTCAGTCAAAGTTTGAGTCAGAAAGAGGTCACAGTTGCAGAGTCCACGGAGCTTAATAACGCGAAAACCACAGTAGATGAAGCTGTAAGTCATAAATTTATTAGTTAACTGGATTTTAATATGAAAACTTTTGGTTTAATTTTCGATCGTCTTTTGCAGAATCTTACTCAGGAGACGAGTCATTCCTTCCCCGTCGACCGAATCACAGTGCTAAAGAAAGATATCAGGGACGTGGAAGAACAAGAAATGGAGGCCATTCGAGAGGTGCGTAGAATTTTACTAAACAATCAATGTGAATAACCCTAAATTATACATTTGTATTTCAGATGGAGATTGAAAAAGCATTGCTTATCGGTGAAGAAAAATCTCTTGAGAGTCAGTTGGCCTTAGACACTGAAGAATTGGTGGAATTAAAAGACAGGTTAAACATACGACCAATTGATTACGTATGAAATTATGATTCATGTTAAAAATTGTATGCTTGTATTCATACCTGTAGATTGTGTCAAATTGATGAAAGTAGTCGACGATGGAAGGTTGATGGGTTGGAACGCATTTCTGAGCTTAAAGTTAAATTGGCGTGTTCAGAGAAAGAATTGCAAAGATTGGAAAGAATGCACGAAGAGTTTTGCGGAAGTACGGACGAAGAAACTGTTCTCCTGGAAAGATTAAAATTTGCACATGAGCTTGTTGAATCAGATAGAAAGGTACGCACTTATGTGTATTTATAACAAGATGAAGAAATTTACGTTTTATTCAGGAAATATTTTGAAAATTCTGCAATATCTACAGGCATTCGAGGACTCTGAGTTTTTCCAAATGGAAGAGGAAATCAATCGGGAGACCCAAAGAGACGAATTGTCCAAGTTGGTATCTGAAAAAGGGAGACGACTTTTAGCGAGACAATTGGCAATTGAAAAGGTGCGCAGTCAGAATAAAATTTCTTTTGGAAAGAACACAAAAGAAATTCAAAGTCTAGAAAAGAAGAGACAAGAGCTTCTAACAGAACTAAGAAAGGTAAGAACTAATCCAATTACATAATTTTCTCTAAATCTGGTTGCGAAAATTTAAGCGATTAATTGCAGACTCGCGAATCGTCCAAACTCTCCGTGGATGCTCTAAGCGTTCCTGGTAGTGCTGAGAACGTGTCGGATTATGACGATGTACGGTTTTATTCTGTATTAAATACATGCATAGATACATAAACAGGCGCATAGAATCGTCTTATCTGAATAACTTTCTACTTTTGCAGACTTCCAACTCGGACCTCGAAGAGAAACTTCGAAATATGTTACTCCTCTCGTCATCCACCGATGACCTGATGCACATTGAGAGAATCAAGTCCAGATCTCCAATCGACCCCAACATGGGAGGTAAATAAGCATCTGCATGTAGTTGACAGAATAGGAAATTGATTAAGAATGCTTAAATACTTAAACTAAATTTAAAGGTGCTGTGATGGGGGCCAAGACTTGTGAAACATTGCGAGAAATTGAACGGAATCGAGAATATCATCTGAACGAGCAGGGTAAGCATTTTCATTTAGTGAACAAAGAAATGCGTTGTTGCTCACCAAGTTCCGAATCTGTTCACGACAGGCGTGCAGATGCTGGAGGAGGAACGAGCCCGGGTGAGAGAACTGCAAGTTCGGGTGCGAGAGGCCGTTCGGGAGGAATGGGAGGAGAGGAAGAGTCGGAACAATCAGTGCCACTCTCTGAATAGCGTGGGCAGTGAGGATTCTGGACACACGGCGTCGGACACTCCAACTGACAGGTAAAAGCCACTTTCTCCGTCGTTGAACCATCGTTTAACCCACTCCCAGCAACCTCGACGCTGTTCATGAATTGCATCGAGTTACAAACTGTGTAGTAGGAAATGATTCACTACCTGCAGATCCGCCTATTCCTACTTTCTCCTATTTTTTTCTGCTCTGCTACCTCCACTCAACCGACATGAGACGTTCCTCTTCATGTGCAATCTCGTCGAGTTAAATCCAAAATAATCCAAATTGCCAAAGTTAGGCATTCCATTTCTCTTGATAAAAGATAACTCATTCTCTCTGTTCCGTCGAGCAGGTTCATTCATGTCGTTGTTGTGTGGCTCTAGTTCACAACGAGAACTCTCGACCATGTATTTGGGTAAATGTAGCAGTACCACCAGAGCAGTTTGGTTACACCCCGTGCAAGCTGAAGAGTAAATTGACTTTCTCTTTCCAACTGCTTCATCCATTCCGAGCAACCATTTATTCCTACCACTACCACCAGCATATGTACATTTTACGTGTGTGAGCACATAGTACAATCTCCACTAATGCCACTATCCTCCCATCACACACAAACTCTGAAACCACGTAATTTAGTTGATGATTGTGAATTTACGTTTCCATTCTCAACAACCAGAGTTGTAACAATGCCTTGAGATTTGTAAAGTGTGGATTATGCATGTGTTTCCAAAATCCTGCTAAATAATTCTCGTTGTACTTTATATCTGAGTTTATCATCAGTTAGTTCATTTAACCATGGATTATTGCCGTTCATCCAAAATGGAATTCTCAATCAGTCCATGAATATCGTATGTGGATATAAATACAACGTGTGTATCCTTGTCACTCTATAGTTCCACACCAGCAAACCCGAGCAGACGTATGTGTACAGGAATTAGAAAGAGGAGGAGGAGAAAGGCTGATGGGAAAGGTGAAGAGGAAATTCAATCCGATCCTGGTTTTAATAAAGCAAAGGACGCGAGAGTAAATCTGGTGGTAGGTGACTTGAGCCATAATATGTTCAACCAGAAGAGTCGTTTCAGATTTTGAGGCAATTCCATCCAATTTCAATCTCAATCCAAAGCAAAAAGTAATGCATATTTCCTTCATCTCTTTTCATTCCTTCGTCGAGTCTTCGTCCAATAGTTGCGATATACATACATATCTATGTACACATACGGTGGGAATGTGTGTCTATATCCGTCTTCAAAGGCAAAGGGGGATGGAGAGAGGTACAATCGAATTGCACAATTTCCACGATACAATGAGCCCATTTCACGTTTGTTGCTACCTCCACCCTCCTTCGGAGGCCTGCTGGATGGGAGAAATTGGAACAACTGCAGTGTGGGTGACATATTGTGAGCTCAGGCCGGGAGAGATCTTGTTGGCCATACGCGTATTAGTGAAATTGCCTGGCTTTTAGATTGGGAGTTGATCTAGCGACAAAAGGTCTCATCTTCAAATCTCGAGACTAAATGGCACAAAGGGAACGAGAGAGAGAGATAGAAGACAGGGACAAGCAAAGCTGAATGCGAAACTAATGGTGACTCTGATGGTGGTAGAGAAAGCGTGGAAAAGCCAATAGAAGCCGTAATAAAATTATATTGCATGCCCGACCCGTATCGACTTATCCTTTTGATCGGGTTGAAATTTATCTCAGACTGGAAAATCCGTGGTTTCGTATGAGATTCACTCCAGGAACAAAAACAATGCTGCTCCTCATTTGCCCAGATTGTTCGCTAGGATTGTATTCCAATCAAGCCAAAATGACGAACAGGAAGACTCGTGAGAGCATGCAAGTTAAGTTAATGCATGGTTTGGTAGTATAATTGGATTGCAAATGTGAGGTTACCCACAACATTTCCCGTTTTTCACACACGGAAAACAACGGCATGCAAAAACACGTTATCCGTTTCGCATACCAAAAAAAAAAATTTTTTCATCGCTCGCAAAAATTTTCGTAATTCGTCCTTAATTTTATTATGTCGAATCAAATTCTATATATTAGTCGAATCAAATTCAAACTTTGACCTAGCCTATCAATTCTTCCTTATTTACGAAACTGCAAGAGGCAAACGTACACAGCTTTGTAAAGACAACAACACGGTCTGAAAAGAAAGTTTGGCTGAAAAGAAAGATTTTCGTGCCAATCTGGGGAATCATAACAATAGGTGATTGCAAAAATTGGGAAGAATGGAAATATCCGTGTTTATGTGCTTTGCGTAATAATAGTTCATGTTTCTCATTTTAGATTGTAGGCTTGGCTGATCAATGGGAGCAGCAGTTATCGTTGATCGGTGCCCAAGTAAATAAATATGCAGTCAACATTTGGAGAAAGTCTTTGTATTAATAGCCTTCCATCCATAGCACCCCCGTTTCCTCGTCCTCCGCTTGTCTCCTTCGCACGCCATTGACTCCTGAATCTGATTCCCTTTATGTGCAAAAATTTAGGGAAACGTCAAGATGAATGGAGAATGATTGTTGTGAGGAGGCATTATTATGCACTGACTCCGTCTGCCCGTGACGCTCTCCTCAGTCCAATCTGTATCAACGTTTCTGAGGAATCGAGAGGTTATCGCGACCGGGGCATCGTCAGAATATTTCACCAAAAACTGATGGTCGTGGTGAGCCTCACCACGACCATCAGTCAGTCAGGCTGGCTGGCTGGCTGGTTGGCTGGTGCTGCTGGTTTCACATGAAGTGAAAGTAACATGAATAAATGGGGAGAAGAACCTTCTCTCGCCGAGGAGACAACCTTTTTTCTACACGCAATATTGTGTTTATGCACTGCATGAGCTGCTCTCCTATTTGGCTTCCTCTTGCAAATCCCGTTCAGAGAAAGGCTTATATTTCCACTTCTTCTTCTTCTCTTCTGTCTTAGACAACGGGCTCAGTGCGTGCTCAAAAAATAAGTGAAAGTGTGTGTGCATTTTTGCATAGCGGGATCTTGGGGAGGGAGGAAGGAGTTAAACGTAGCGTGTGCTGGGTGGTGGTGGATGTGGAGCAGAAAGGACGGTGCTGTATGATATTGGATTGGTGTATGACACTTCACTTACCAATTTTGATTCTATCTGGAGCAATGCGGACTCCTTCAATCCAATATCGAGATGAATCCATTTCTCTGTATTTTTATTCATCATCCATAAAATCTTCTAAGTTTGAATTTCCTCCTGCATACTTTCTCTCTCGCTCGCTCTCTCCAAGAGCTGGAGTCGTCTCGCTCCATACTTGACCTAAATGGGGGCTGAGCTGACATGGGAAAACTATAACTGCTGCTGGGAAATATTTATCTTTGTGAATTCCGAATACAAATTTTTCCATGTGAGTGGCTCCTTTGAATTTGAATCGTTGAAGGTTTGACGTGCCACTTTGAGGTTTGACGGGATGCGACGTACTGAAAATTTAAAGAGTTTGCTTGGTTTACTTTCTTCCTCCTCCTTCTTCATCTCAAGAAATCCAAGAAAGAAATGGGCAGGGTGAGATCCATTTCTATCGAATTTGAAATATGACGGTCACAAAATGTGCAGCAGCTGAATCCAACCACGAGGATACAAATGTTGAAAAGGGTTTTACGAACCTACTCGAATGAGATATCTCCACAAAACAAGAAGAAACAGGGCTCTGCTTTTGATGCCATAATATTAAGAAGATTTTCATGCACTATTTACATTTGTACTGCTTTATTGTAGGGGTTTAGAATACGGCATGTCCTCATTCTGGCTGGCCGTGGTTTTTGTTTCCTTCTTCTCGAGTCTTTTGGCATGATGATGGGTATGAGCTTTGCACGAGTTTTATCAAAAGACGACACAACACAAGCATCTACTTATTTTTGAGCTGGGACAATGTAGTCCAAAACAATCAACTCGAGTCTGCCGTTTTATTTGAAGAAAGTAAGTTTATGTGGGAGAGAAATGCTTAAGACTGGAGTTGAAACCTGTCAAATCCATAATTTATGAGAGGATGGACAAATATATGCTCACATTTATAATTCACCCACCCCTCGCTAAATATTCCCACTCTCCACTCCATCCACTTTTCTGGAGATACGTACATACAACCTGTCAATATATTTATTCGACTTGAAGTTTCGTACTGAGATATGCAACTTACGCCAATGTGCCCGTCATTTGGAAGGTTTGGAAGGGTTTCAGCTGTCAAATCGATAGTTCAAATGTTTGATTTCCAAGGAAGACAGGTGCAGGTTGAAACAAGAGGAATGGGTTATTTGCAGACTGTTGAGGAGAAAGTTTCTCTATTTTTAAGACGTGGAGTGTTCGTCATATTTAGTCGAGGAATATGTACTCACTCGGATCTGACTCACTTTCCCTCAAGACATTTACATGGCGCATTATTAGTTCGCTTCGTATGCAAACAGTACATTTCCCAGCACACGGGAGCGTGAATTTGGGGAGTGATAACGATGCTATTTAAACAAGAAAAAAGTTTGTCGTTCCAATCATGTTTGGTTTCTTGCAATGTGTCACCAAGTTTTCGGATGAGAGATTATTTTTAGGTGGGTGTTGTGTTCTTCGACTTTCTCTCATTATTATTTTTTGTTTTTTACAGTATTCTCAATAACGATGTTTGATTATAAGCAGAAAACTCTGGGGCGGAAGGAAAGTTAATTTTTTTAGACTGAACAATGTCTGATGGAACTGTCAGCTCTGCCTATTTGTCAGAAATAATGCAACTTTTTTCAAGCTCTGTCTGTTGACCTCAAATTTTGCAAACGCAAAGTAAATCACGTGTCAAATTAGGAAATAAGTAAATTCGAAAATGAACAGTTCATGCGGTGGTCGGTGGTGTTGAAAATTAGAAATAAACGTAGGAAGCTGAAATTTTGCTCCACGCTTTGTTATATGGAATATGCTTTCATTTGGCATTCAAGTGACTTTCTACCGGCGGAGGTGGCAGAAATGAGTCCAACTTGTTGGTGTGCAATTGTAAAACTAAAATTCTATATAGCTCTTGAATGAGAAATTGTCCGTGAAATATGTATAATTATATATCTTAGCTCGGGCTGCATCAAGTTGCAACATAAACTTGTTTGATTAAAAAATACACGAGGAAAATATGACAATTATCTATGATTTGATGTATGTTATTCGCCGTAGAATATTACCAAGAACAGTTGTTCGTATTGAGAACATTGGTGAAAACAATAGAAATTTTGTTGTATAATAACTTTTGTAACCACAACGTAACAAAGTACTAAAACTTGCTTCGAGTTGTTAACTGTTCTTGTTGTTCTAAGATTAGTTCCAGAACAATTTGTTCTGATTTCCTCTGAACTTTTACTCATGCACAGAATGTGCTTAATTGTGAACATTCTCCTTTCAATATGTGACTGAGGAGTTGTAGTGCTTCAGTCGAATTTCATTTCATTTCTACAGCTTAATAAAACTTATTTAATTGTAATATACTTAATATTGTGGAATTATATAATCTCGTCTAATTTTAGCGTTTTCTCTTTTCAGCGGAAGCGGCGATGATACGACGGACAAAAGCGCAGCCCCCTCAATCTCCACGACGGATGCGAGTCTGACAGAAAATGGCCAAAACTCATTCGAACTATGTCAACAGGTTAGAACTTCATTTCTTCACGTCATTCCTTGTTCAATACTTCATCACACTTTAAAACTGCTAATACTTTAACACTCGGGGTGGTTTTTGGACGTGGCGTAAACAACGCGTGTATATGCGAACGTTGTTTGATCTAACTTTGTGACAATTTCTACTGTAGATTTTATGTATGTCAACTCCATAATACGACAGATGTACATGTACGAAGTACAAACAACCTTGTTTGCTAATATTTATATTGAAGGATCTTCAAAGGAAATAGCCGCACGCGTGGATGAACAAAGACAGATGAGCAGTCATCAGTGTATAAAGTTTTGCAAGGTGCTCTTGCCTTGCAAATGTTTTCTATATGTGTTTATATTTCTGAAATGTTGCGGTAAAGCAAATCTGGTTCAGGATAGTACTGCTAATCTTATCCCAACTTGAATAATAAACAGCAAGCAAAGATGTGCTAGATTTTGCCAACCTATTGCAAAATATGGGATGTTTGAGACCTTTGTGTATGCGACTGCATATAATTCAATGCAGATTATATATGATGCTTTGATACGGCTAAAGACGCAATAATAGATTTATGAGATGCTGAACCTCTGAATAAAGATTTATGCACGGAAAATAAGCTTCCACCGGATGAGGAGGAAAATTTGTGTCCAATTTTCAAGCATGAGAACATCTGTCGCTGGATTTAATGGTGACTGGCGTTTACGCTACCCGACATGAAAGCATTAAACTGCGGGTTGTTCCATATAGGTCATCAAAATAGTGGTTGTCCGCAACATATCATACGAGAGACGACGAGATGATGTTTAATCCTGGCAGCGATTATGGTGGGCTGACAGGAGGACACGGGACGGAGAGTGAAAGAGACTCCGCAGCGACGGCAAAATTTGCATTTACTCCGCACTGAATTGATTCTCTTGTGTAGGCGGATCGCATCACAGGAAAATTCACACAGTTCCGCTACTTATCATATAACGATCCCCCAGCTTCAAATGAGTCTCATACATATGGGGAAAGTGAGAGTGAAAGTGGAATTGAAATCGGCCATGATACACAAGGTGTCAAGTATAATTGTTGGTTTACCTACTGATATCCATTCGACGAGTCAAAGTGAGCAGAACCGTTCTGATATGTTTACGGATCAACTGATTTCATAATTTTTACTGTGGGCGTACGAAATCAGAATCTGGATTTGTTGATAGCCTTTCGTAACAGTCCCCTTCTGCAAACAAAACCTTGTAGGTTTTAATTTCTCCTCCAGAAACGACAAGTAAATAAATTCATTCATTCATACATACATTCAGTAAATTTCGGTTTAAGGTGTTGTAAATGTGGGTACATATTTGCATAAATCCGAATTGGTCAACATGCCCAGTTTGATGAGAGGGATAATAATAATTGCACAATTATATAATTCTTTATTACCGTTCGTCGAATAAAACACGATGGCTCAGTGTTACATAATACGTTGGTTTTAGAGTAATGTGAGTTTTAACAAATTGATAAATAATTGGTGTTTGGTAAGTAAACAGGAATGTGAGACGCTCGAACAGTGCATGTGGCTTCATATGATTTGATTTGTGATGAGATTTTATTTTACATGGAGAAAATTGTCGAGAGGTTTGCATGCTCGAGTGGTTACGACTTTCGTTTATGCAATGCTTGCGGATTTACAAGTGTTCATTAAGACCACCACAATCCTTTGACTGTTTATGCAACTCATGAATTTTGCAACAAAAGCGCAAACCATTTGAATTGCGCAAAGCTTTGGCAATGCTGAATATTATGATTTTGACAGGTTGTCGTAATTTGTAAAATCCACTTCGATTAGTCAACAAATCCTTCTCCACATACGGAATAATGAAGCGTTTTCCAGACCGAAACTTATACAAACGTATGCATCCAATTTGACGAGTGGATGTTTTTAAACTGAAATATTGTGTAACAAGAAAATTTTCCAACTTGAGCTTAGTCTTGCAATAAACGAACACCCGTCACTAATCACGGAAAGGCATCAAAACGATATTTAGTGAAAACCTATGAAAACAAGTATAAACTCGTCCCATTTTATGAAGGTGGCTACACGTGGATCATAATTTGTTAAGATGAGTAATAAAATTCATTGGGTCCAAAATGCTTTCACCAGGAATGAAGCAAAACACTAACACCGCAGGTTATGTTGGATCACAAATTCCATAACTCCCTATTCCCACCATGGTCAGAAGCCTCGCTGGCAAATCCGAGCTTTTTGGAGAGAGAAATGGCAAGCGAACGGAGGAAAGCAGATCTCGTTTTATTTTGTGGAAGTGTAATGATGATGAATAGTCACATTCACGGTCATACTTGTGGGATTTATTTGGCTGCAAACTACAAACATCCTGCGTCGGATGGCAATCTTCTTCATCTGTCCAACATCACCGTATTTATATCCTCGGTTGGTTGATGGTGACATGGCTCCGACACACGATGGTGGGTGGACCCTTCCCGCACCACAGAAGCAGAATTTAACAGGAACGTATAGACATAATTAATGTGCTTCCGTAAAACTGGTGGAAATGGTGGAATGCTATCAAATAAGTGTAGAAGGATGCACTCCTGCTCTTCTGGCAACAAGATTCTCCAAAGTTTTGCAAAGTTTTATCTCTGGAGATTTGGATCTCGGTTTCGATGGAGGCGAAGGAGGAGTGAAGTGGAGACCAACAAAGAGTTTGATTTAATTCACAAGCTTTTCGCTTTTTCATCGATTTTGGTCTACACGGATTATTTATAATAAGGGCATCCTTCTTGCAACATTGGCTTCCTCGTCGCCGTTGTGAAATCAAGGAGGAGCGAATACATGTTTCTATATGTGTACGTATAGTGAACCTGATCTACGAGAACCATCTGGACAAGATGGTTTTGCTTACGTACATTTCCAATAACAAGATTCAGCCGGAAACGACAAACTTTGTGGGTTTTGCTGAATTCTGGGCTCTAGTCATTGGAAGGATAATGAGGAAAATGTTGCTCAGAAATTGCTGTTGGCTTGGGGAAAGAAGGCGGCGAGGGGATGATGAGATGCGAGATACCTGATATCGTCGGCGTCGAGTTGTTCTTCTTTCCGTTTCTCAGGATTCCCTTGAGTCATGTTTATAATATAGTTATTAGTTTATGGCTTCAGCATTTCTATGTGATGATGATAGTTTCAAGAAATGTGTATCCACGACCGATATCAAACCCGAAAGTTTCTATTTTTGTCTTCAAATGTGAAGCTAAAATTTACAATCGAGGATATTCGGTGCAAATGTGTTATACAAATATCACCATCTTGTATTCGCTTTGTTCGGTGATTGTTGGTTTATTAGTGGATTAAATGATCTGATGGATGAATGCATTTGGAGGTTTCGTCGTCATAAATAATAATGAGCGGTAACGTGTTAAGCTTTGTGTGCTATAATAAATATTTAATAGCGCCAGTTGTCAACGATTTATTTTCTTGAGCCCGTTCTTATGCTATACCTGACCTGCGTTCAACCTTCTGAAATGCCAGCTGTTTCTCCTTATTTTAACTTTATTGGTACTTTTCCAGGACACAAGTTGCAAATCTTAGATAAATTGGGATTTTAAACATCACCTTGAAACTTGATTAGTTTGTTGGTTAAAAGTAGATATGCAACACACTAATATGGCACAGATTTTTGTGCTTGCTGCTTCAGTATGCATAAATTGCTGCTATTCCGCAATCTGTTATCAAACCATGTGAGACTCTAGGTCTATAAGCATCTATAAGCGTCTATAAGCGTCTATATGCTTATCTGCAGTTAGCAATGACGTACGGTGAAATAGAGAAATGTGAAATAATGTCATAGTTCACTGGCGGAACATGAAATATGCAAACGAGTAAAAAAAATGACTGACATATATTTCTCCCTGTGGACCAAGTTGCATATCCGAGTAGTTCACGGTCAAAGCAAATTGCGATCAAATTTTCGGGCATGTCACTCTGTAACTCACAGAATTGCTATAACCAAGTGCCAAATGTAGAGTCAAAAGCGTAAAGTTTAACGATGAAGTTTGGCTGAAAATAGTTATGGAGAAATAGAAAAAGTGCTGTGCACCAAAAAATATTTTACCTCTGTATTCCGGTGACTTGCATATGTATTATTTATTACGGAGGTCCATACACTAAAGCTGAGCATCCTTAAATGAGTCATCCTCGTGTGTAATATATACATATGAATAGGTAGGATAAATTAGGAGATTAGAAGATTCAAGCTGTGACACGTTGTCTTGCGAGTTCATTATTATCCATGCAAAAAGCGGATGGCTCTTTGGCTAGGAAAACCAAAATCATTTCCCCGAGTTGTTAGACCAGACTGCACTGCAACATCAGCAGCAGCAGTTGCATGGCATCAACTGCGTAGGCATCCAATCATTGGACTTGTGAAAGTTGGTTGACTAAAATAAAAGTTTGAGCAGCTTTAAACCAATTTCCGCCCAGCTCATTGGAAATCCACTTAAACGCTCCAAAGTCTTGTCACTTGTCTGAATTGGCAATCGACCTGAAAAGCGACTGATTGACACATCATCTCATTTGAGTCATTTGTTCCCTGTTCCAAGCAAAGCAAACCGATCTGTCATCCCTCTCACACCGGCGGCGGAGACCAAACTCTGCTCTCCGACGACTAAATTGGAGCCACATCATCATCTCATCTCTCATTCAAATCCAGGGACATCGACAGGGAGAGCAAAGGTGGCACCCGGAATGAAAATGAAGTCAACCTGGAACTCCCTTGCTCTCTCCTCCTCTAATGGCAATGTAACGCGTGACGGTGGTTAAGTGACAAAACCTGCTTCCTTCATTGTCTCATCCTTTCACGTCACTCTGACTATTAATCATTCTCTCAATTTTCGGATTTCTCAATTTTAAGTAAACGCTGGGGAAAGTGAAACATGCGGAACTCCAGTGTCCCGTGTCAGTCGGCTCCATCCGGTGGTGAAAATTAAGTTGGAACCCACCC